ACACCCCTGCTTCACCGAACAGACGATCCTCCAGTTGCTTTATCACCCGGGGGCGAAAAGTGGTGACATGAGTCCATACTGTCTGAAATCAATTTTATCAGTGGTTTTGAGGAATGTTTCTTGTAAACAAATAGCAGATGGTTTTAAATCTTGAATTAATGGCTGTAAGATCAGTAAAATTATTCGAAGACTCTACAATTCCATTGTATTAAATTTGGCATGCAGCTCATGGAATGCTTCAATTGGAAGAACATTGAGCGAGAAAGGTGGTCCTTTACGCTGTAATGTTAGTGATGGAGTGATCTCCATATCCAGAGAGTTCAAAAGACGTTATGAACCTCCAGAGGAACAGTCAGTGGTAAAGGCACCTCAACATGTTTGAGGCCCTTTGATTCTTTTTCTTGAGTTTTTGTTTTCCTTTTTTTTGAAAGTGGCGGATTTCTTTTACACAGGTTCAGGTTCAGGAAGGTTCAATTGTAGGCTCAGGCATAGTCCTTGCTGGTGTGTTTCCAGAAGACAGGATAGTTTGAGAAGCTGATGTGGACGAGAGAAAGAAGAAGAGACATAGCTCCAGCCTCAGCATCGTAAAGGAATATTCCCTGAGACATCAGTAGTCAGGTAACTGCTGTTTGGCATCCCTGATCAACCTTTGGAGGTGAAGAGAAGCAGCAGCAGAGTATGACGAGTGCAGAAGTGGAAGTGGAATCCTTCTCTGTAATTTCTTAGCTTCTATAAATGAAATGTCTTTAGTGTACTTGATTGCGAGGATTTTGTTTTGTTTCACATAACGGGCATGATTTTGAAAATGACATGTAGTCGCTTGCTGCAGTTTGCACATTTGATGATATCTGTACGAGTCTGTGCTGTCATGTTTCTTACTGCAGCAGGAGCAAACAGGAGTTACGACAAGATTTTTGCTCCATGACCAAACTGTTGACAGTTGGAAACACAGGTGGATTCGGTATATACGCATCCACTCCGATGTTTAATCTACCGGCTTTGATAGAAGAAGGGATTTTTGAAAGTGCAAATGTGAAAAGGTAGGTGTTTGTTTTTATAATTCTGTCACCATCTTTCCTAGTAAACCTTTTCACTGATGTTACACCTTGATTCTTCAACTCCGCTGCAATGTCCTCCCTCACTCATGTCTGAGAGACACTTCGCACAGTCATGTCTAAATGCCTCTACATGAATTTAAGGTTTTGTGCACTGAAGACAACAATCTCAGTATTGCAAATTGATGGGCCTTGAGCAGATTTAGAGACTGTTGTCTCCATGCACATTCCACTAGCAAGGAACCGGAGCGGGGCAACGGATGACATTCTTCACGTTTCCCACAAATGCACTTCAGTTGATTTTGATACAACAAAAGGGATTGATTTTGAGGGATTCACCATCAACACCTTCTACAACCAGAAAAGCAGGGGCCAGCAATCAGGACTGTGTACGAATTCATCATCCGAGAATTAGCAGTGTCACTATCGACATGCCTTCTCTTAGTTTTGGATCTAGAACCAGTTAATTGTAGGGTAGCCATGATGAAGGGAAAATATTCGACTTCCTGCTCCCCCACCCACCATGGAGAGTGTCAACAAGAACGGTGTCGTAGTGGAAGCCAACTACAAACACCAGGGTTACAGGGATGCTATACTCCAGCAAAATAAACACAGGTAGCTATTCTTGCCAAACAGGGTATAAGTCAGGCTGGGTCCGGCCCTAGACAGATCCCTGAAAGACAAACAGAACCCGGAGGTCAAAATTGCCAGATTGGCCCATGAGCCACCGCCTTCTGGCATGGGACTCTAGAGCAATTTCATAGATACAAATCTATATATATATATACATGCAAGTTGAATGTAAACAGCCAAGACCAAATATTATGTTGAATATGTGCAAAAGTAATCTCTACGCACAGGGCACTGCGTGACCAGCCGATTGATAGAATCGGGCCGATTCTACCACCCGTCTAGGTGAAGTAAGGGTCGAAGTGGTGTATTGGGCAAAGGAACACTGTTCCTGGAACCAGTGCCCTCAACCACCAGAATCCCGTCCTCCACCGACACAGGGGCGCAACCCAAGGCAAACGGGTTGGTGGACCAAAATATCCCCCCCGGGTCCACATCGAGGGTCGAAGAGCTCTTAGCGTTACCCAGCACCCACCACGAGGAGGTGGCTCTTCACGGGTGCCAGGACTTATATAGAACTGTTAAACAGGACCATGTACCACTGATAATTAGGACTTATATAGAACTGTTAAACAGGACCATGTACCGCTGAAAAACAGGACCTATATAGAACTGTTAAACAAGACCATGTACCGCTGATAAACAGGACTTATATAGAACTGTTAAACAGGACCATGTACCGCTGATAAACAGGACTTAAATAGAACTGTTAAACAGGACCATGTACCGCTGATAAACAGAACTTATATAGAACTGTTAAACAGGACTATGTACCGTTGCTAAACAGGACTTATATAGAACTGTTAAACAGGACCATGTACCACTGATAATTAGGACTTATATAGAACTGTTAAACAGGACCATGTACCGCTGATAAACAGGACTTATATAGAACTGTTAAACAGGACCATGTACCACTGATAATTAGGACTTATATAGAACTGTTAAACACGACCATGTATCGCTGATAAACAAGACCTATATAGAACTGTTAAACAAGACCATGTACCGCTGATAAACAGGACTTATATAGAACTGTTAAACAGGACCATGTACCGCTGATAAACAGGACTTATATAGAACTTTTAAACAGGACCATGTACCGCTGATAAACAGAACATATATAGAACTGTTAAACAGGACCATGTACCGCTGATAAACAGGACATATATAGAACTGTTAAACAGGACCATGTACCGCTGATAAACAGGACTTATAGAGAACTGTTAAACAGGACCATGTACCACTGCTAAACAGGACTTATATAGAACTGTTAAACAGAAGCATGTACCGCTGCTAAACAGGACTTATATAGAACTGTTAAACAGGACCATGTACCGCTGCTAAACAGGACTTATATAGAACTGTTAAACTGGACCATGTACCGCTGCTAAACAGGACTTATATAGAACTGTTAAACAGGACCATGTACCGCTGCTAAACAGGACTTATATAGAACTGTTAAACAGGACCATGTACCGCTGATAAACAGAACATATATAGAACTGTTAAACAGGACCATGTACCGCTGCTAAACAGGACTTATATAGAACTGTTAAACAGGACCATGTACCGCTGATAAACAGAACATATATAGAACTGTTAAACAGGACCATGAACTGTTAAACAGGACCATGTACCGCTGATAAACAGGATTTATATAGAACTGTTAAACAGGACCATGTACCGCTGATAAACAGGACATATATAGAACTGTTAAGCAGGACCATGTACCGCTGATAAACAGGACGTATATAGAACTGTTAAGCAGGACCATGTACCGCTGATAAACAGGACACTATGTAACACTAACTTACAAAACAATAGTTGTTGAAAAATGATTTTCCACAAAGAATATTTTTTAGAGTTTTTATATATAAAGTTAGGTTTGGAAGCATATTTTTAATACTTCATATGTGAATATGTCTCTACGCAGCAATGATGATGTGATTTAGTATTCCATTTTCATGTGGAGTACCAAACCAAATCAAGTTTTTAGATAATATCAATGGATGAGGATAAACATTGTTGAGCCAAATTTGTAGGTTTGTCCAAAAGGTTTGTGTCTAACTGTTATCAACTTTTTTCATTTTGACCAATTCTTTTTTTGTATAAATAATACGTTGTAGAAATCTATGTTGAAAGTCAATAAGCTTTGTATCTTGTAATCCCTTTCTTTATACTGTAAATCCATTTTTCCAATCAAAATCACTTTCAGGAAATAAAAGCTGCCATTTATTACAAATGTTTAGATGTTTATCAGTGCAAATAAGTTTATCATTAAAAATCCGGAACGGGAATTGGTACCACTGGTATAAGGCATGTAACCACTGATTACCAGGGATACGTATCACTCACTCACATAGCTATGTACCACTGATAGAATAGACTATGTACCGCCGATAAATATGATCATGTACCACCCACTGACAAATAGGACCATGTACCGCTAATAAATAGGACTATGTACCACTTACTTACAAACAGGAATATGAACCACTGATAAACATGGCTATGTATCACTCATAACAGTATCATGTACCACTGATAAGCAGGACCATGTGCTAAGGAGGATAAGGCACCACTAACAAACAGGACATTAAACCATAATGAACATGAACGAGTCTAGAACAGCTTCTACTGAGAAGGTTATTGACAAAGAGTGTGCGCACATAGACAGTGATTCAAGTCAGTTCAATAACAGCTGAGTGTGAGAAGTGAATTCCAAACCATCGTGTATTGCTACATCTGTGAACATCATTTGTGAAACACACAATCCCTGACAGGGTGTCGAGATGCAGAGGATGTCGAGATGCGGAGGATGACATCATGGACATATCTGGAACTCGACGGTCTATAGCCTTGCTGCACAGGCAGTTTTAATGTTGTACATTATTGAACTCTATATTACTATGAACCAGGAACCATCATTATAGTAAATTAGAACTCACAACACGCGGACTGAGGCAGCTGTGCGTGTTGCGTTTCTTTAGACCTCTGGGCCACAAGTTCTCTTCACTGATATCATGAAAACCGGGGTGAGTGAGGATGTTAGTTTCGTTTTATGTCGCTTCTAGCAATATTCCAGCAATATGATATTGGGGGATACCAGAAATAGACTTCACATATTGTAACCCATGTGGAAATCGAATCCAGGCATATGCGAATGCTTTAATCACTAGGCTACCCCGCCGCCCCCAACCACATCAGATGGTAAAGCATAGCTGTGTTGAGTAAATATGCACCATACATAGTCAATGTGCATTTTGTACGACTCCGCAAAGCTATTCGGTGTCTTTATCAACGTCTTAGTACCTCTTTGTTTTCGTATGTTCTCGTTCATTTCAAGCTGGATGTCACCGTAGGATTGGCCCGAAGCAGTCCCTGTGAACATACAAATTTCAGCATACACTGTGATTCAAATTAAAATGCTTGCCCAATACATGAGTTTTTGTGTATCATCTTCTAGACACTAGTTTGGCTGACGCTGTAGGGGTCTCCAATTTCAGGCAAAACCAGTTTTAGCCTATATCAAAGTGTGATTGAGCATTTCGGGTGATAGAGGCAAAGACGGTCATTCGAGGTGTGACCCAACAGTCTCTTGTTGTTGTTTTGTTGTTGCTGCTGCTGTTGTTTAACGTACTCATCAATATTCCAGCTAAATGGTTGTAATCAAGTCCTGGCCAGACAAGCCAGGGATCAAAGGCACCAGCGTGAATCTAAGCAATTGGGATGCGATGACATGTGACAATCAAGACAGACTGCATGACCACCCGACCCCGTGAGTCGCCTCTATCGACAAGCATGGATCTTCACAGATTTACCCTACAGTGAAGACAGTTAATGTATTATAATACATGTGGATATGAGCTGCGTGCCATCTAGCGTGTCGTCGTGGCACAGAAGAAAACATATTCCTGGAAGGTGTCGGAGTTGATTGTTTTTCTCTATCGAGAGCCCCAGCAAAACATCGGACACCATGGTGTTCAGCTGATGGTCGCCCGAAGCTTATTTTTTGTGTGATAAACCTATGATACCTTTGTGTGTAGACACGCGAACTCAAACTAACTTAAAGTAGCTATGATAATTGCAGAATCTTTATCGTCACGAGGGCCTATTTCCATCATTCTGCTTGTGTTGGAATTCTGACTAACTGATATAGGCCTCCTATTACCACTTAAATATGATTAATCCTCAGAAAAGCCCCGTGAAAGGAGGACCCCGATTAACTTTAATATCTGATTCGTGTGTTTGAAACCAGCAACAGTTTACCAGTCTCTTGGCGTGTGTTTGCTTCATCTTCAAATCCAAGGTTGCCATAGATGTAAATGGGATCGTCATCTGGAACATTGTGTTATTTCAGAATAAATTATATAGAATTGTAGGACAGTCTGCTTGATTTGGCAGAAAAGCTCATGTATACTTTGTCAACGCCACAAGGACAGATAGAAGGAACACAAATTGGTATCTGAAAAGCAGGTTTTAATCGTAAAATTCCTTTAACTTCGTTAAGTCGTAGTTCGTTATTGTGAAAGGATTTAAGCTTCAGAACAGAGGTTTTAATTTGTTATGACAAGGAATAGTAATTGAGGTAGTTAAACATTGCTGTACGTAATGTGACGCGCAAGTCCTGTCATAATGAACGAGTTTTACTTCTAAACATTCCATATCCCTGTTTCCCTATTGGGTCGTTTATCTTGTTGCTTGGGTTATGACTTCATTTCAAGGCTACTGTGTAGAATTCATAGGCACTGCAAGCTTCAAGTTTAGATGGTCCAGCTACTGTTACTTGAGTTCTGCATTCCATGTTAAAATAATCAGGTGTTGTTTTGTATTTGATTGTTGTTTAACCCCGCACTCAGCAATATTCCAGCTCTATGGTAGTAGCGGTCTGTAAATAATAGTCTGGACCAGACATTCCAGTGATCAATAGCATGAGCATTGATCTACGCAATTTGATACGATGACATGTGTCAAGCAAGTCAGAGTGAGTGAGTGAGTTAATATTTATCGTCACATCGGCAATACCAAGCCAGAGAGCCTGACAATCCGATCCCGTTAGTCGCCTCTTAGGACAAGCATGGGCTGTTGAGAACCAATTCTAGCCCGGATCTTCACGGGTATTAGAATTCATAGGCAACATCCAAGACATGTTACCCCATCCATTTGCTATTTGGGGTCTGCATTCCACGTTTAACACAATCAGCAATGTCATATAAGTATTTCATGCTTTTAACGTTTTGTGCCTGTCTTTAAATAGCTGATCGATTGCAGACGCCGGCGTAAGATGTCTGCATATTTACAAAACCTTGTTCATTACCTCTCACTGGGGTCATTCCAAGTGCGCAGTACGTATTATCAGCACCTGGAACATGTTACAAGTCATTTGCCAAAGGCCAAAATACCAGACAAATTAATTTCCAAAACTGACACATTGCTCTGTCTAAAGTCTTCACTTTATTTGGCTTAACAGAACGATCATCTTCCGAAACCTGCCAATACCGACACCTGTATAATCCGGCACACAGCCAAAACCGGCATACAATTTTGGTCCCGCCATTTTACAACGATAGTATGACCATTAAAACATTGTCTAATCCGGCATCTGCCTATTCCGTATTCCGGCACGGCTTTCCGGTCCCAACAAGCAATTTTAACTGTAATCAACACTGTCTAAACCGGCATGGGTATGAGCAGTCCAACGAAGGTCTCATGATCCAATACACTAATTAATCCTCTTATAATCCACGTTAGATAATCAGGAAGTAGTGACTGCGTGGTGAATCAAACGCTCTAAGCCGGCATGGGTATGAGCAGTCCAATCAAGGTCCATTAATCCAATACACTCATCTCGGCACGCTAGATAATCAGGAAGAAGAGATTGGCGAGTGTAAATGGCAGCCATGTTCGAACATGATCGTCACTGTCTAATCCGGTATCCTGTCTAAACCGGCACCCCCACGGGACCGAAATGAAATGCCGGTTTAGACAAGATACCGGATTAGACAGTAACGATCATGTTCGAACATGGCTGCCATTTACACTCGCCAATCTCTCTATTCACTGTCTAAACTGGCATTTTCATTTCGGTCCCGTGGGGTGCCGGTTTAGACAGGTTTCACTGTATATATGGACTGTATAAAATGGTGCTATACCCCCACTTGGCAGTTCCACGGTCTCGTACATCTGTTGGCTCCCTCCAACATCTGCCCTGGTGGTCTGTGCAGTTCTAGTACACATGCAAAATCAAATGGGAATATTTTACAATCTGTGCTCTAGATAAACACATTCTTGTTTATCAGACATTGGGATATATTAATTCAAATATATGGTTCGTTACTCTGCATTGCCCTTTTGTGAGTTTTGAGGGGGAGCACGTTACATGGGTTGACAATTCCTTTATTGGAATGGATGCGAGATGTAGGTATTAATACCGTTATTAAACATCTACACCGAAACCTTGTGTCCATAGCAATCAAAAAGAGGTCAATCCATACAAGGTGATACTCTACATCCTTCCAACTGCCACTTTAGAAGTTCACAAAGTTTTATAACTGACAAGTAAGCTTTTGTGATTTATATCAAATACAGTTTTAGATACACCTACCTCTGAGGATTCTCAATAGCTGGAATAAAAACGCAGTTGTCAATGTCATATTCAGAGCAATACTATTCAATACTATTTTACAATAGAATTTACTGTCATTTGAGAGGTTATCGGATGTTATGCATAGTATAGTAAATATTAATGTAAAGTAATCATATAAGGCAATGTAAGTTAGTCATATGTGTGGCCAGCTATGTGCATATTTCATAACTGACAGTATCAAGTTATACCACAAATACACTTACGTTTTGCAGTCTTCATTCTCCTCCTCTGGTAGATAATGATGATGATGAGGATGATGATGATGAGGATGAGGATGACCAGGCCAGATCCTGTTGCTATGAGGAACACTGGATACTCATTGTCCTCGATCAAAGAGTAAGCTTGCACTGTGGCAGAACAGAAAGAACAGATTATCAAAATGAAGAAACGAATGCACTCTATTTGAAGATGTATGAGAAGATTTGCCTCAGATGTTTTACAAGGGTTGACGTGTTCTACACAGTGTACACACAGTCTTCACCGACCACGACAACCACAGTGCCATTGATTGGTTCCAGATGTACCTCTGGCGGGTCAAGGGACATTCATGATTTTTGACACATGCTTATATTGTACATTCTAAGAAGCTTCGGTGAACTATCAAAGACGCACAGTACATTATCAGACGATGATGTACACTCTTTGCATTACGTCATAATGTATTGGCGTTACAGCGCCATTCTAGTCTGCCCCCTCGTAATCGAACACTTTGGCATTACGTCACAATGTAACAGACGTCACGATGCATGTCAGTGGTCATCGCCTCGTAGAGCATCCTTCAGTAAACTACTCCGTTGCATCCCGTTTCTTGGTTTGCAGTTGCTTCACCCGGCGAACATCACTGGTGGAAACATTACGTTTATGTTTTACGACGGATAAAATGTCTCAGTTCGACTCACAATTTACCTGCGACACGACAACGTGTGTTTACATTCCCACAATGCATCCGTGGAATGTCACATGACTTGTAATCTTCATATGGATGTACTGATCTATACTTACGTTGGTAGTAGAAATGTGATGTTCATATTGGCCCATATGATATACGTTAATCACAGATATAATTAAAATAATTTAGAGAAGACATTTAACCCGAACGTAAAACAGTCATCAAACTGTTCATCATTTTTTTTTTCTGGTAACGTTCGTGTTAACGTAGGGGGCAGACAAATCAATAGAACAGCGCGTCAGTTAGCCATGAACGAGGAGTCTTGAATTAGGTCACCGACACGGTCGTTTGTTTTCCGCCTTAGATTAATTGTAATTAGTCTAAGAAAGTATTTAATTTGGCATCCTAGAAAAAAAATACAGTTCGCTCTACCACCATGTATAGTGTAATAAAGCACACTTTCGCCCTGAACTAATAAAGCGTTAAAGTTTAACTATAATAGTTTAGGGCGAAAGTGTGCTTTATTGCACTATGCACGGTGGTGGAGGGAATTGTATTTCTTACGAATATATTCTTTGCGAATATATATTTCATACTTCTTCTAAGGAACTGTACTCTGTTTTACCATAGGTGATAAGTTTGCCCAACCACCATGTAAAACATTAACCACAAAATCCGTTTTTGCCAACGTCTAGGCAGAACACACAACAACGATAATGGGGCTACTCACAGACTTCGATGCCTGTTTGTACAGTTGATGTCCCTTGTTTATTGGTAGCAGAGCACGATATGTTCCCCGAATCGGAAGATGACACGTTTTTCAGAAACGTCTGTCCGTAACTGATATTGCCGCTGTGATGCCACATGTAGGAGGTGACGGTAGGGTTTGCATCGTCAACGACACATTCAACTTCAACGACATGCCCAGCCATGACACTGATGACATCTTGCCTTGTTGACAGGTGGATCTCCGGTGGATCTTATGTCATACACAAGATATGAAAAATAACCACAACCACAACATTCACAATGCACAATATCATGAAACATTTATACCCTGTGAAAACAATCCGTCTGATGATTCATAATTATAAATAATGGCGGGAAAACCACATCCATAGGAAATTTCTTCCAAATGAAGAGTCGACTGTACAACTGTATAATTTCATATATACTCATGGGAACGAAAATGGGAACATATGAAAGTACAAGTGTTCGTTTATTTATTTCCAGAATTCCACCCACAGTGCAATGCATGCCTTGTGAAGAAACATGGAAAAGAATCAAGGAACACTTGCACTTTCATGTGTTCTTTTATTTTTTTCCATGAGAATATTATGGAAAAAAAATGTTAAAGCTTTACTACGCCTTGAATATGGTAACCTTGATTGAACAACTTCTAAGCAAGAGTCGTATGACGCTGTATAAAAAGAGCATGCTCGACTGTACCTCATCCAATTGGTCTTACAGCCTTATGGAGAGTCTTATTGAGATTACCTTGGAGACCAAACTGGCCATTAGTGCCAAATCAATTATATTTTAATTTGCAAATCTTCTACATTTCATGGTCACTGGTAAGGTTAAAAGAGTAAGTTGTTCTACCCCGCCGTGAAATTGCTGGAGTATTTGCTAAAAGCGGCGTAAAACCATACTCACTCACATATATACGGACTTTCATGTCACCATCCGACCATGTCTGACGTACACATCTTTCTCATGTTGTAATCCTCTTTTGATCTTAAACGAGTTTCCCCATCCCATCATTTATTGTCCTCGCACAATTCAAGACATGAACCCGTGACAGATGTAACGAAAAAGGGCTAACATGACGTTACCTTCAATAATTTAACACTGCTGCGACGTCAGGACGTTGAGGACAGCCGTGTAATGCATGTCCAATAAAGCGATGCGATAATCCTGAATGAATCCCAGTCAATCAAAGCACAACCAATTCCCTAAAATCAATCAAGTAAGCAATCATAATGTAAACAGTTGCCCTTACATATCACATTAACAGTTGCATCTGCCCGTCCAGGCGTCATCATGTGCCCATTGTAAGCAGTACAGGTCAGTTGCCCTTGGTCAGACTTGGTTACGTCACGCTTTAGGAAGGTCGACCCAGCACTTGTTCGTCCGTTGTGTGACCACTTGAATGTGTGGACACTGGGGTTGGCATCATCCGCGACACACTGCACACGGAGGTCTTCACCAACAGCAACATCAATGGTGTCACTTCTCGGTTCCAGATGTACCTCTGGAGGGTCTGGAGACATTATAATATTTTTATTAGCCATAAATGTAATTGGCAGTGCTGCAATATCACATCAAACGGACGTGACCAGACATTTTACCAGGATGTAGATTAAACGAAATAGAAACATATTCATCATGACAAATTTAAATATAGTACACTACATATATTAATTTCTTTTGATCATGATATATCTTGACTTTAATGCCTCTATTCCATAGAACACTTACACCACACGTTGATTCGAGTGAAGGCCCTCGCACTCTGGACACTGCATGTCAATGTGCCCGAGTCAGACTTGGATGTTATTGTTTTACTGAATGTTTGTCCAATGTAGGAACGTCCACTGTGTGTCCACCTGAACGAAGTGACCGGAGTGTTGGAGACATCAATCACACATACAACACTGAGTACTTGCCCAAGAAGGGCGTTGGTGACACTTCCTTGTGGCTCCAGGTGTATTCTCAACGTTGCTGAAAGATGTGACCAAATAAACAATCTGGAAATTGCCTCATTAAAAATAGAATCTGAAATTTAGATACAGGTTCTAGACATATTTCTGTATACAGGAAATCATACGTACCCCACGAATAAATATGTACCCTCCGACCCCAAACAACCCTATCCTACCCCATCATTACTAAATCAAATTCCTCAACCACATACCATCATATATCACAACACTGCAAATGTGTCAAAACCACGTCCCGGACATGCACGGACAATATCACTACTGCCAGATACCAACCTCCAGACATACCACACTACATTCTCTACTGTCAGATACCAACCTCCAGACATGCCACACTACATTCTCTACTGTCAGATACCAACCTCCAGACATACCACACTACATTCTCTACTGTCAGATACCAACCTCCAGACATACCACACTACATTATCTACTGTCAGATACCAACCTCCAGACATACCACACTACATTCTCTACTGTCAGATACCAACCTCCAGACATACCACACTACATTCTCTACTGTCTGATCCAACCTCCAGACATACCACACTACATTCTCTACTGTCAGATACCAACCTCCAGACATACCACACTACATTCTCTACTGTCTGATACCAACCTCCAGACATACCACACTACATTCTCTACTGTCAGATACCAACCTCCAGACATACCACACTACATTCTCTACTGTCAGATACCAACCTCCAGACATACCACACTACATTCTCTACTGTCAGATACCAGCCTCCAGACATACCACACTACATTCTCTACTGTCAGATACCAACCTCCAGACATACCACACTACATTCTCTACTGTCAGATACCAACCTCCAGACATACCACACTACATTCTCTACTGTCAGATACCAACCTCCAGACATACCACACTACATTCTCTACTGTCAGATACCAACCTCCAGACATACCACGCTACATTCTCTACTGTCAGATACCAACCTCCAGACATACCACACTACATTCTCTACTGTCAGATACCAACCTCCAGACATACCACACTACATTCTCTACTGTCTGATACCAACCCCCAGGCATACCACACTACATTCTCTACTGCAAAGCCTCAGTATGTCTTAGATTAATATATGGTAAAAACAACATGCTGCTAACTGATAGTAGTGCACATCACGGATGTCTGCAACATGGTAAAAGGATGCCTCATTTTTACAGAAAGGATATAAAAGTTAAAGAGCATAGCTTACATCTGATCCGAACAGTTGCATCTGCCCGTCCAGGCGTCATCATGTGTCCATTGTCAGCAGTACAGGTCAGTTGTCCTTGATCAGACTTGGTTACGTCACGTTTGAGGAAGGTCGACCCAGTACTCGTTCGTCCGTTGTGTGACCACTTGAATGTCTGGACACTAGGGTTGGCATCATCCACGAAACACTGCACCCGGAGGTCTTCACCAACAGCAACATTGATGGTGTCATTGCTCGGTTCCAGATGTACTTCCGGAGGGTCTGGAGATATATGTGATCTTTGGTGAAACGGTGACTTTGTACATTATGCATGCTGCGATATCACATCAAACAGAGTTGTATTTTGAACAAGGAAGGAAGATAATTTTATGGATGTCTCTATTATGAGGAACACAACGTTTTGGAATATATACGTACTCCTTCATCAGGTGAATCATTCATCACTCAAATCATGGAGGAATATACTCCTAAACGTTGTGTTCCTCATAATAGAGAAGTTGACATCCATAAACTTCAATTCCTTATGTGTATGGCTTCTAATTGTCATTCAAAAACCTGATATATTTAACACAGTAGAATAATGTTGAGCGAAAAAACACATTCGGCTTTGTTTCACAGACGGAAAATTCGAAATGATAATCTTCAGTGTCACCAAAATATTCCCACATTATTCCATTTTAAAATAAATAAAGTATTTTCCTGGGTGTACGTTGGCAAATATAATTTTTTTTTTGTGGTTCTTATTTACTAAATATGAAATAAAATGTAAATCTAGATTTACAACATTAAATGTAGTAAGATTAAGCATATGACATTTCTAGCCTATCTTTGTAGCACAGGTAGCCGCACTTGTGAACCTTCAAGACCTCCCAGACACCTATGATCGTGGTTTGACGTCAATATTCATCATAACTCTGATGATTGATTTGTCTGCATCCTTTCCAGGCTCGTTAAACAACATATCTGCGGACTTTGATCTCACATAGAGCACACAAGCTGTTGAAAGTAATCTCAAACCAAACTGAAAACGACTTCAGTGTATGCCTGGAAGTAACACCATTTACTTGTCTCCACTGATCTAGTCTTTCTTATACATTGCATCTTTTTATGATCATGATATGTCTTGATTTTAATGACTTTATTCCATGGAATACTTACACCACACGTTGATTCGAGTGGAGAACCTCACATTCTGGACACTGCATGTCAACGTGCCCGAGTCAGATTTGGATGTTATTGTTTTATTGAAGGTTTGTCCGCTATAGGAACGTCCACTGTGTGTCCACCTGAACGACGTGACGGGAGAGTTGGAGTAATCGACCACACACTTGACACTGAACTGACAAACCTACTCTCCATTCACACCACCCCACATCACTACACTGTCAAACCTACTCTCCATCCACACACCACCCCCACATCACTACACTGTCAAACCTACCTCCATTCACACCACCCCACATCACTACACTGTCAAACCTACCTCCATTCACACCACCCCACATCACTACATTGTCAAACCTACCTCCATTCACACCACCCCACATCACTACACTGTCAAACCTACCTCCATTCACACCACCCCACATCACTACACTGTCAAACCTACTCTCCATTCACACCTACCCCACATCACTACACTGTCAAACCTACTTCCATTCACACTCACTCCATTCACACCCCACATCACTACACTGTCAAACCTACCTCCATTCACACCACCCCACATCACTACACTGTCAAACCTACCTCCATTCACACCACCCCACATCACTACACTGTCAAACCTACCTCCATTCACACTACCACCCCACATCACTACACTGTCAAACCTACCTCCATTCACACCACCCCACATCACTACATTGTCAAACCTACCTCCATTCACACCACCCACCTACACATCACTACATTGTCAAACCTACTCTCCATTCATTCACACCACCCCACATCACTACATTGTCAAACCTACCTCCATTCACACCACCCCACATCACTACACTGTCAAACCTACCTCCATTCACACCACCCCACATCACTACACTGTCAAACCTACCTCCATTCACACCACCCCACATCACTACACTGTCAAACCTACCTCCATTCACACCACCCCACATCACTACACTGTCAAACCTACCTCCATTCACACCACCCCACATCACTACACTGTCAAACCTACCTCCATTCACACCAACCCACATCACTACACTGTCAAACCTACCTCCATTCACACCACCCCACATCACTACACTGTCAAACCTACCTCCATTCACACCACCCCCACATCACTACCTACTGTGTCAAACCTACATTGTCAAACCTACCTCCATTCACACCACCTCACATCACTACACTGTCAAACCTACCTCCATTCACACCACCCCACATCACTACACTGTCAAACCTACCTCCATTCACACCACCCCACATCACTACACTGTCAAACCTACCTCCATTCACACCACACCCCTACATCACTACATTGTCAAACCTACCTCCATTCACACCACCCCACATCACTACACTGTCAAACCTACCTCCATTCACACCACCCCACATCACTACACTGTCAAACCTACCTCCATTCACACCACCCCACATCACTACACTGTCAAACCTACCTCCATTCACACCACCCCACATCACTACATTGTCAAACCTACTCTCCATTCACACCACCACCCTACATCACTACACTGTCAAACCTACCTCCCATTCACACCACCCCACATCACTACACTGTCAAACCTACTCTCCATTCACACCACCCCACATCACTACACTGTCAAACCTACTCTCCATTCACACACCACCCCACATCACTACACTGTCAAACCTACCTCCATTCACACACCACCCCACATCACTACACTGTCAAACCTACTCTCCATTCACACCACCCCCACATCACTACACTGTCAAACCTACTTCCATTCACACACCCACCCCACATCACTACATTGTCAAACCTACCTCCATTCACACCACCCCACATCACTACACTGTCAAACCTACCTCCATTCACACCACCCCACATCACTACACTGTCAAACCTACTCCATTCACACCACATTCCACCCCCACATCACTACACTGTCAAACCTACCTCCATTCACACCACCACCCCACATCACTACACTGTCAAACCTACCTCCATTCACACACACCCCACATCACTACACTGTCAAACCTACCTCCATTCACACCACCCCCCACATCACTACACTGTCAAACCTCTACCTCCATTCACACCACCCCACATCACTACACTGTCAAACCTACCTCCATTCACACCACCCCACACTACATCACTACATCACAAACCACTGTCAAACCTACTCCATTCACACCACCTCCCACATCACTACATTGTCAAACCTACTCTCCATTCACACCACCCCCACATCACTACACACTGTCAAACCTACTCTCCATTCACACCACCCCAACATCACTACATTGTCAAACCTACCTCCATTCACACCACCCCACATCACTACACACTGTCAAACCTACCTCCATTCACACACACCACCACATCACTACACTGTCAAACCTACTTCCATTCACACCACCCCCACATCACTACACTGTCAAACCTACCTCCATTCACACCACCCCACATCACTACACTGTCAAACCTACCTCCATTCACACCACCCCCCACATCACTACACACTGTCAAACCTACCTCCATTCACACCACCACCCCATCACTCACTACACTGTCAAACCTACTCTCCATTCACACCACCCCACATCACTACACTGTGTCAAACCTACCTCCATTCACACACACCACCCTACATCACTACACTGTCAAACCTACCTCCATTCACACACCACCCCCTACATCACTACACTGTCAAACCTACCTCCATTCACACCACCACCACCCCACATCACTACACTGTCAAACCTACCTCCATTCACACCACCCCACATCACTACACTGTCAAACCTACCTCCATTCACACCACCCCACATCACTACACTGTCAAACCTACCTCCATTCACACCACCCCACATCACTACATTGTCAAACCTACCTCCACTCACACCACCCCACATCACTACACTGTCAAACCTACCTCCATTCACACCACCCCACATCACTACATTGTCAAACCTACCTCCATTCACACCACCCCAACATCACTACACTGTCAAACCTACCTCCATTCACACCACCCCACATCACTACACTGTCAAACCTACCTCCATTCATTCACACCACCCCACATCACTACACTGTCAAACCTACCTTCCATTCACACCACCCCACATCACTACACTGTCAAACCTACCTCCATTCACACCACCCCACATCACTACACTGTCAAACCTACCTCCATTCACACCACCCAACATCACTACATTGTCAAACCTACCTCCATTCACACTACACCCCACATCACTACACTGTCAAACCTACCTCCATTCACACCACCCTACCACATCACTACACTGTCAAACCTACCTCCATTCACACCACCCCACATCACTACACTGTCAAACCTACCTCCATTCACACCACCCCACATCACTACATTGTCAAACCTACATCACTCACACACTGTCAAACCTACACTGTCAAACCCACTTCCCATTCACACCACCCCACATCACTACACTGTCAAACCTACCTCTCCATTCACACCCACCCCACATCACTACATTGTCAAACCTACCTCCATTCACACACTGTCACCCCACATCACTACACATCACTACACTGTCAAACCTACCTCCATTCACACCACCCCACATCACTACACTGTCAAACCTACCTCCATTCACACCACCCCACATCACTACACTGTCAAACCTACCTCCATTCACACCACCCCACATCACTACACTGTCAAACCTACCTCCATTCACACCACCCCCCATCACTACACTGTCAAACCTACCTCCATTCACACCACCCCACATCACTACACTGTCAAACCTACCTCCATTCACACCACCCCACATCACTACACTGTCAAACCTACCTCCATTCACACCACCCCAACATCACTACACTGTCAAACCTACCTCCATTCACACCACCCCACATCACTACACTGTCAAACCTACTCTCCATTCACACACCACCCCACATCACTACACTGTCAAACCTACCTCCATTCACACCCACCCTACATCACTACACTGTCAAACCTACTTCCATTCACACACACACCCCACATCACTACATTGTCAAACCTACCTCCATTCACACCACCCCACATCACTACACTGTCAAACCTACCTCCATTCACACCACCCCACATCACTACATTGTCAAACCTACCTCCATTCACACCACCCCACATCACTACACTGTCAAACCTACCTCCATTCACACCACCCCACATCACTACACTGTCAAACCTACCTCCATTCACACCACCCCCACATCACTACACTGTCAAACCTACCTCCATTCACACCTACCCACACATCACACTACACTGTCAAACCTACCTCCATTCACACCACCCCACATCACTACATTGTCAAACCTACCTCCATTCACACCACCCCACATCACTACACTGTCAAACCTACCTCCATTCACACCACCCCACATCACTACATTGTCAAACCCACCTCCATTCACACCACCCCACATCACTACACTGTCAAACCTACCTCCATTCACACCACCCCACATCACTACATTGTCAAACCTACCTCCATTCACACCACCCCACATCACTACACTGTCAAACCTACCTCCATTCACACCACCCCACATCACTACACTGTCAAACCTACCTCCATTCACACCACCCCACATCACTACACTGTCAAACCTACCTCCATTCACACCACCCCACATCACTACATTGTCAAACCTACCTCCATTCACACCACCCCACATCACTACACTGTCAAACCTACCTCCATTCACACCACCCCACATCACTACACTGTCAAACCTACCTCCATTCACACCACCCCACATCACTACATTGTCAAACCTACCTCCATTCACACCACCCCACATCACTACATTGTCAAACCTACCTCCATTCACACAACCCCACATCACTACATTGTCAAACCTACCTCCATTCACACCACCCCACATCACTACACTGTCAAACCTACCTCCATTCACACCCACATCCACATCACTACACTGTCAAACCTACCACTCCATTCACACCTCCATTCACACCACCCCACATCACTACACTGTCAAACCTACCTCCATTCACACCACCCCACATCACTACACTGTCAAACCTACCTCCATTCACACCACCCCACATCACTACACTGTCAAACCTACCTCCATTCACACCACCCCACATCACTACACTGTCAAACCT